GCTCCTTTCTGTATCCCAGCTCCTCCCTCTTCCCCCTCCTACCCCTCCTCTACCTCCCCCTCCTCCCCTCCTCCCCTCCCTCCCTCCCTCCTCCCAACTCACCGACGTAGAACCGGAGAAGGTATCCTAGCTCCTTGCTCTGTCCGACCTCTTGCATGCGACACACGTCCGCGTATCCTATCCGCGACAGATACTCGTTCTGCAGGGCCAGCGGTGGATCGTACGCTTCCAGCCTCTTGATGACCCCGCCGTTGTACTGAACGTGCAGGGCGTTCGAGAGCGCTCCAAGCTTCAGACAGATCTGGTGCGCGGTGGTCGCGAGCGAGCAGGGAAGGCAGCGGGATTTGAGGACGGTCGTGTCCGCGTCGTACACGCGCACGTATCCGTGATTCGTGTCGCACAGCCACGCATCCGGATCCGGCTTGTCGACGGTGGCGCCGCTCGTCGCCGCGCGGGAGAACGAGGAGCTACTGCTGCCCGTCGGCGAGCGGTCCTTGTCCGAGAAGGGCTCGGTGGTGGCGCTGGTGGTGGTCTCCCAGCTGCCCAGTTCGTCCGACAGCGTGCTGACGGGACGGTTGTCGGGAGACCGGCTGCTCGAGGAGCGCGAGCCGGACTTCTCCTCCTCGTCCATCATGAACTCTTTCCACCAGTTGTGACCGGCGCGCCCCCTGCTGGACAGCACCGAGTAGTGCGAGCGCACCGTCACCGTGTCGCACTGCTCGCGACGTCGGTACATGACGTCATCGGGTCCCGTGCCGCGTCGCATGACGTCAGAGCTGAGAGCCGACGATAACGATGACGTCAGAGGTGGTGGGGAGGACGGTGACGTCAGCGATGCGACGTCGATGATGTCATGGTGGCGACGCCACGCAACGCTATATGTCGTCGGGGAGCACGATACGGGTTGTTACAGCACGCAATGGGCGTATGCTATACAGCTGGCAGACAATGATGTAGGGGATGTTGGTATGATGTCACAGCATGGTACAGCTAGCTACGTACACGTAACTAAACCGCGTTGGTGTAACACCTGGACAATTACAGTATGATATAGCTGTACATACAAGATGTCCTGTGAACACGTGTAACAACTAGGTGTCCCACGCTGAGTGTGTGTTGGTGGTGTAATCTCTGGACAGTCACAGCAAGAAATAGCTTCACACTGTCGCTGTCACTGTCACACGCTGTCACACACTGTCACTGTCGCTGTCCCACACTGCCACACACGGTCGCTGTCACGTATAGATAGATTCCTTCCACTCATGTGCTACTTAGCACCTGCTCATGTAGCTCCAAAGGAGTGAATCCAATCAACAGGTAGATACCTTGCTGTCCACAGGTATAGCACTTGTTAACGTAACTCCAACGCAGCGAATCCAATCAACAGGTGGATACCTATCGGTCCACAGGTAGCACTTGTCAACGTAACTCCAACGCAGCGAATCCAATCAACAGGTAGATACCTATCGGTCCACAGGTAGCACTTGTCAACACAACTCCAATGCAGTGAATCCAATCAACAGGCAAATATACCTATCTGTCCACAGGTAGCACTTGTCAACCCAACTCCAACGCAGTGAATCCAATCAACAGGTAAATATACCTGGCTGTCCACAGGTAGCATGTATTGGTATGACCTCTGTACAGACGTCAACACATGTTCAGCAATTCATATCCTGCTTACTTCGAGACACTGAATTTAACAACTACAACAGCAACCCAATCTTTTTCGTCTATCCGTCTATTGATGTTCCGTGGGTAGTGTCACTCCAAATAACAGGCAAGCACCTATCTGTCCGCACCAGCACGTGTTGGCGTGACCTCTCTATGTAGCCACCGCCATGTGTACCAGTCTAGCCGTCCAGCTATGGCTGTGTAACCGATGTTGATATCTCAATCATTTCTATATGCGGGTCAGTTCCTATATGACGGCACGGTCTCTCTCTCTCTCTCTCTCTCTCTCTCTCTTTCTCTCTCTCCTCTCTCTCTCTCTCTCTCTCTCTCTCTCTCTCTCTCTCTCTCTCTCTCTCTCTCTCTTAGTCTGTTTTATGCCTGGGTTCACGTGAAGTCTCAACACAGGTACAATCGTACACGTGAACACATTAAAGTAGCGCTCAGTCTAACGCGTGTAACATAGACTTGCTTCTCTCTCTCTCGCTCTCTCTCTCTCTCTCTCTCTCTCTCTCTCTCTCTTTCTTTCTTTCTCCGTGTGTTCCTGGGTTCACATGAAGTGTCGACACGAAAAGGGTGCACTCGTACACGCGAAAACACTAAAGCGCTATACACCCTAACCTGTGTAACATAGGCTTGCTTCTCTCTCTCTCTCTCTCTCTCTCTCTCTCTCTCTCTCTCACCCTCCGTCTCTCTTTCTCTCTCTATCTGTGTT